CCGGGGAGAATTCCGTATACTGACAGAATCGGTCAAAACCGCCTAATTCCATTAATTTTGTTTGACTTTCACAATCATAAATCAGCACTGATTGTGCCAACCCGCCAACCCCAATAATACGCTTATCGTCTTTAGAAAAACGCAAACACCAAGAATGGTTGACATCTGATAGTGACTTTGGTTTCTCCTTTGTCTCTGGTCCAAACTCGTATAGTTTTATCATCACCACCACTGGCTACCAATTCACTGCTATTGGAGAAAGTGCAGGCACGCACACCACATGAGAACGTAGGTTTCCTGTCATGTCCCTCATATATCAAAGATGGTTCATATTTTTCCATATTCCACACACATACCTGAAATTAGAGAATATATAATCCATTATTTCATTCCTGGTGTGAAGAAACAATATTTACATTTACATTTGCAATAAAACACCAGTGAGTAACATGCTGTAGAATACTTAATTTTCATAAAAATATTTTTTAGTTATTTTGTATAACATTTATTTTGATGAGTTGAATGTAAAACATGGGAAAAAGGTATTTTGACTGATTCATCCCTTCAGCGAAAATAAACCCCAAATGAAAATAATATTTGTCGTCTTTCAGAACGTGTTGCTGGATTTGATTGTATTGTTTACAGGAAATTAGCATAAATAGAACATGATAGCACAGGGGGTTACAGTAAATGCTCTTAAAAATATAAATTAGAACTGTATTTTGTATAACTACTACTATTAGTACTACTTGGCAAACATGATACAAGGGGCGTGTTAGTAGTTGCTATGCTTTACTGAAATTAAAACAAGCTGTGAATGGTGTAAAAGATAGAGTTGTATTCATTGTTGGCCTTGTATGGAAATAAAACTGCCTGTGTCCACGTGCACGCAGAAAATTACCCTCCAAAACAGAACTGAATTGCATCCATTCAATGACATTTGGATTTAATAAAATATATGGAATACACACCTTGAAGTCGTCAGATGAGGATGCCAACCATTTTCCATCAGGTGAATAGGACACACTCCAACATCTCTCTGAGTGGAATCGCAATCAAGTTAATTTCTCAGCTGCAGCAGCATCCCAAATTCTGACCGATTTATCTTGGGACACAGACCAGAATCTGGTGACATGGTGACATCCATCACCCACCCGGAATGTCCACCTAATAAAGCCAAGTTTTCTTTCTTTATGATATTATACAGATGGACTGACATGTGACTTGACGAGCTCGCCACCAGTAACTGGTCATCAGATGAAAATGCAACTGATGAAGCATCATTGGGTAGACGGAATCTTGCCATTTGGTCACCAGTGATAGCATTGTAAACTATGGCACTTGAGTCGACAGCTGCAGATGCTAACATCTTACCATTATGAGAAAATCGGACACACCAGATTGCGGATTTATAGTCAAGGATTTTATGTCCTTCCAAGTGATCTGAAGCTGGGAAATTGACGTTGTCTTTGATTTTATGACCTACCAGTGTAAGCATGGTTGACCGTTTCTTCACATTCCAAATATACAGCTCCAGGTTATCCCCACAGGATGCCACTTTATTACCATCGATCGGGGACCAATCACAGAAAATCACATGACCTTCATGACCAATAAGCTCGCTCTTCATACGACCTGATGCAACATCCCAAATTTTTAATTTTTTGTCCAGTGATGATGATATCAATTTCTTACCATCAGGTGAATATGAGATGCAGTTAATCCACATCTTGTGGGCATTCTTAATAACACGTCTCCGTTGGTACGTCTTTGGGTCCCACAAATGGATGCTTAAATCACCAGAACTTGTAGCAACATCTTCTTCTGTTGGAGAAAACCTGACACATGTGACTGCACCATTATGACCTTCGAGCTGACCTTTTAAATCACCTGTGTGTCTATTCCATACTCGGACAGTTTTGTCTACAGAGGCTGAATAAATTGAATTGCCATCTTTGGAAAATGAGACAGAGAGAACAGTGTTTTGATGACCACTTAGCTGCTGTTTGTAAGCTTCGCATTCAGAGGGTTTATTCATATATTCAATCCATCCTGTTGGCTTTGTTATGTACGGCTCCACATCAGCAGTGAATTGCTCTTTCAATTTTGTTGCTGATTTCTCTGGAGCTGTGCCCTTTGGGGCATTCTGGGTTTGTTGGTAGTAACAGCGGAGTTTTGCTGATGATATAAGTTTCTCTTCTCAGGAATTCTAGCATTTCTTCTAGATCTTTAACAATTCCTAGATCCAGCTGCTTGACATCTTCATTCAACCTGCGAACTTCAGCAACTGCTCTGGTGCATTCAGACAGTAAGTCATAAGTCATGTCAGCCATGCACTTAGCTTGTACGAACTTTAAATTGCATATCACGTCACGCAACTTGTCGAATTGTTGAGCTGCGATGTGATTTGACAATAATTGACTTATCTTGCAGAAATTCAATGCTTCTTCGCTATATGCCAATGGCTCTAATGCTTCGATTCTCAAACTCATTGTGGAAACTTCCAGAAAAGTATCTTGCAATCTTAGAGTGAGTCTCTTTCCATGTATCTCCGGGAAGGTAACGACGTTGAGCCACTTCCCAGAACTGCCGATGATACAGTGACACCAGAACTGAACCTTGTGAACCTCTCTCCACCAAGAAACTTCCCAAATCGTGACGTAAGCATGCAAGTAGCAATGGTGGGAGACGTTTCTGAGGTGGTTCGTGCCAAACAAGAACATCATCGAGTAACTCATCGTCACAGCTGAGAATATCGAGGAACTCATCTTGATTGATCCCTTCAACTGATGCCGATATCAAACCCAACGCTCGGCTTACTAACAATTTACCATTGTATCGTTTC